ATAGGTTTTAAAATGTTCCTCAATCCATATATCTGGTGTAATCTCCTTTTTTTGTGATTGTGTCATATTAGTAGATTTGTATAATAACTTGCATCTGTTAAAAATGTGTATCTTGAACATAAATTTTGAATGTAAATTTTGTGGTATAATAATCTTTCACATCCATATCACGATTTGATTTTTTTCTACTTTTTATCAGCCCTACTACAAACACTTTCTCCTTGACCTTTTCTTTCTTTCACACACACATTTATTCATTACTGTGACTCGATGTCTCTCACTCCTACTCTGCATAGTGTCATTTAAATGAGTCATCGAAAAGCAGTATGTTCATCATTGGTACACCGTGAGTTCTACCCAGCAGTCACCTGGCAAATGGGAGGCCGTTCATGAGGAGAGGAGACAGTTTGTTCTGTCAGTGTGTGTGTGTTTGTGAGTGTATGGTTCTGACAGAAGGGGTTGGAACGTCCTCTGTTCAAACATGCTGTATTTTCCAACAGTCACGAGAACTGAATCTCTCTCTTTATCTCTCTTCTTTCAACTCACTCTCTCTTTTCCCTTCCATTCTGTCTGGTGCCTGTGGTTTAAAAAGACTAGTCAGGTACAATGACAAATACAGTGACGGGAAAGGGGGAAAAAGGGAAGTAGTTGGAATGGATGGAAGGCTGTGATATTTTCTTTTTAGGAAACAGTGCCGCACCCAGGCCTGTTAACTTACGGTTAACATACCCCTTGATTAAAGTTGAAATGTTTTTTCATGTCAAATGGGTGATGGAATCATGGAAATATGATTTTTGTTTCTCTTACATTTTTGCAGTTTTGTCATATATTGTAGTGAAGGGGTAACTGAAGATTCTTTCAAAGAAACAAACCACTGTAGCAGTTTTTTTGGGAAAAGTTTACCCTGAAAGTTTATTAAAAATCTGACATCATTCACTTTGTATGAAGAACAGTCCATAAATTTAGGCCATTATGCACTGATAAACTTCACCTGCTAAATCAGATATGATGACTATCTATCACAGATAAGTAACATCAAACATAATGACAGAACCTTAATTTTTGGGTGAACTATTCCTTTAAAAGTACAGTAGCTAAGCAGTGTAATCTAAACAAGTACACCTCTTCCCTAGTCCTAGTATCCAGTCAAAATCTAGGTCCACTGTTTGCTTTCTATCTGTTTGGAAACTGGTTGCAACCTTGTTTTGAATTTTACATCAAAATCTTTCATCTCATCTTTTTGTCCTTCCCTTCCAGCCGTCATCCCACTGACCGACTCTGAGCACAAGCTGCTAGCGCTGCACTTTGCGGTGGACCCTGGGAGGGACTGGGAGTGGGGGAGGGATGACAACGACAATGCTAAGCTGGCAAAGTAAGACCCCTCTTTTTCTCTCTCATCCTCCATCCTCCATCCACCCCTACAGCAATCTTAGAGAAATTTAATAACTTATGAGCAGGTTCTAGCCTAAATGAGGGGTAATTAAGACAAAGGTAAATTGAGGCCAAATGAAGGCCTCTATCTATATGTTATCTCTACCATATGAGGGATTAAGTTAGACTAAATCTGTCCAGAAGGTCCCAGCACATGGCACCAGGGCATATTATCCTCACAGAGGTTGATCGGCTCTTGATTGACACATCTTAAAGACTCATTCGGTCATTAAAGCCTGTATATGTTCCAGGCTTTTATCACTTGCATATTCTTGCATTTAGTCTTATGGTAAAATTACTTGTACAGGATGTTTTAAAATCTGAGTAACTTTGCAGAGGTCAGCCAATTAAAGCATATAAATAAATTGCGGCAGCACCGCCCCAGCCATGACTTACAGAAGGAAGAACAGAAACCAAAAAAAACATCTGTGCTGAAGTAACTGTAATCATTTGGCCCCCAGTCCATTGGCTCCATAATGGACTGATAAATACAAGCTGTCATTCTCTGGTGACTAGATTTATGCACTGATTGAGTTCCTAGATGCATGCCTCAAATGGTTTGTAATTTCTTCCATTCCCTCATTGGCACGTAAGAGATGACAAGAATATTCAATGACTCATTTGAGCTGATAAACCTTTTGAGCTATAAATTAGGTTTTAGAAGAGATGTGTGACTATGTTCTCCTCTCTCTCTAGTCTTATTCTATCACTGGAAGCTAAATTAAACCTTCTGCACAACTACATGAATGTAACATGGATTCGAATTCCTTCTGAAACAAGGGTAAGTGGTCGTCCATTTATTGGTTGACAGGGGTTGCAAACCCTGCTCCTGAAGGCTACCTTCTTGCAGACACAAGTTCCAACTCTGCTCCAACACACCTTGCTATGTTTTCAAGTAATCCTGAAAACCTTAAATAACTGGTTCAGGTATAATTGATTTAAGGATGGTAGCCCTCCAGGAACATGGTTGTTACCCCTTTTCTAAAGTTTTTGACAGCAGTACTTGCTGCTAAATGTGACTACAGTTTTGAGTCCTAATGGCTGATCTATCTATTACAGGCTCCCTTGGCTCAGCCCGAGTCGCCCACTGCCTCTGCAGGTGAGGATGTACAGTCTCTGGCAGAATCCATGGACTCGGACCGGGAGTCTGTTTGCAGTAACTCCAACATCAATAACGGCAAGTCGAGTAAGGAGAAGGACAAGGACAAGCAGCGAAAGGACAAAGACAAAACAAGGGCAGACTCAGTGGCCAACAAACTGGGCAGCTTCAGCAAGACTCTGGGTATCAAACTTAAGAAGAATATGGGTGGCCTTGGAGGACTTGTTCATGGCAAGATCAGCAAGTCTACTTCAACAAATGGTCGAACGGTAGAGAACGGAGAGCAGAAATCCAAGAAGAAGGACTCGAAAACACGAAAAGGGAGCAAAGAGGAGTCAGGCCAGTCAGCCAGCACATCCTCCTCAGAAAAGGCAACCAGTCCCTCTCCTACAGACCATGCTTCTGGTAGCTCACCTGTTGAGAGACCGCCGGGATCAGGCAAAAACTCAGGTGATCGGACACTGGACAACTGGAAGTACAGCACAGATGTCAAACTCAGCCTCAACATACTTCGGGCAGCCATGCAGGGCGAGCGCAAATTCATCTTCGCTGGGTTGCTGCTCACCAGCCACCGACACCAGTTCCATGAAGAGATGATCAGCTTCTACCTAAGCAGTGCCCAAGAACGCTTCAGTGCTGAACAGGAACAGAAGAGAAAGGCTGAGGCTGAGAAGAAGCCTCAGACCAATGGGCTGGCACTAAAGAAGCCTGAACAGGAGAGTGTTTTCCAAAGGGAGCGTTCAGATAGCTCTCCACCTGAGAGTTGCTCACCGGTGTTGCAACCTAGCCATAATCCTTCCCAGGCTGTGAAGATCCAAGAAAGGGGAAGCCCAAAGCTTGCTGCTTCCCCTATCCCAATACCCATCCCAGCTTCCATCCCAGGATCCTCCATGTCCCCTGTCCCTTTCTCCTCCCCTAGTAACGGTGCTAAGAGACCTGGACCAGTCCCTGTTTCAGCTCACTATAGCCATACACCACCTATCCAGAGGCACAGTGTCATCCATCTGAGGGATGTCAATGTGCAGTCATCCAGCTACAAAGATGAGTCTTACAAGCCAATGGTCGGCACTCTTAAAACTTGTGCTACCTACCCCCAGCAAAACCGCTCACTGTCCTCTCAGAGCTACAGCCCAGCCCGCATGTCTGGTATCCATACGATAAATGCCGTAGACACCCTCCCATACAACATGCCTGGGGAACATAAGTCCCACACTTATACCAACGGCTTCAACACTGGCGACATCCGGGACTGTCTGGAGTTTGCCGATGAGGACCCGGCACCCCATGCCTGGCTGGGGCAGGACAAAACCAAAGGGCAGAGTGATGTTTTCCCAATGTACTGTTTTCAGCAAAAACGTTGCAGGAGGGAGAACTGCACCTTCTATGGCCGACCCGAGACAGAGAACTTTTGCTCATGCTGTTATAGAGAGGAGCTGAAACGCAGGGAACGAGAGGTGAAAGTGCACCGACCTGGATAGCCCTGAAAATGCGCACACATATATAAACACCCCCAATGTGTGTGGAAAAGAACAGCAACACCACCACCTTTTTGCACTTTGCAAGCGATACAAAGAACTAGCATAACATTTTCCTACTATATTTAAGGCCTCCTTGTATTCTTGTTACTTTACTCTCATTAGCGAACAAACACTGCTTTACAATGACAGGAAGTGCAACCAGAATCAGTTTACAGCTTTGGCCAGAGATTGTGTTATTGTTTGTCCTATGTCCGATTTAATTCAATCTTTTACTTGTTCTAGAGTAAAAGCTCTCGTCTGTGCATTTTGCTCAGTCTGTATTGTAAAACTCCTTGTACCTGCAGAAAGAGATGTAAAAGCATATGTCACTCTCTAATGGAGCTTCCCAAATCATGGAAGTGAAAACTCTGTTTAGAGATCATTATTATGCAATACTTCACAGCATAGCTCTTTGGAATCTTAATATTAAATAACATTGATTTGCTGTGCATTGCAAATAATTACAAAGGGAGGGAGCTGCACTGTTCAGCACTCTGACTTTTTTTGAAAGCAATAAGTTTGGTAACAACTGTCACCCCTCCCCCTTTTATCTATGCATTCATGACGTCAGCCATATTCTACTTTTCCCCATATGATTCTACGGGATATAGATAAGATTATAATAGGTCTGCTGTACAGGGATTATTATCGGGGAAAATATTTAATATGTGGCATATCAGAGTGTGCTTTTGGATTGATCTTGTGGTGTATATATATATATATATATATTCATTTCCAGCTCTGTTTCAACACACCTGGCTATGTTTTCAAGTAATCCTGAAGACCTTAATTAGCTGGTTTAGGTTTGTTTAATTAAGGTTGGCACTAAACTCTGCAGGATGGTAGCCCTCCAGGAGCACGGTTGTTTCCCCATTTTTTTTTTTGAGAACAGTATTAGATTAAGGTGACTACAGTTTTGAGTCCTCATGGCTAATCTATGTATTACAGGCTCCCTTGGCTCAGCCCGAGTCGCCCACTGCCTCTGCAGGTGAGGATGTACAGTCTCTGGCAGAATCCATGGACTCGGACCGGGAGTCTGTTTGCAGTAACTCCAACATCAATAACGGCAAGTCGAGTAAGGAGAAGGACAAGGACAAGCAGCGAAAGGACAAAGACAAAACAAGGGCAGACTCAGTGGCCAACAAACTGGGCAGCTTCAGCAAGACTCTGGGTATCAAACTTAAGAAGAATATGGGTGGCCTTGGAGGACTTGTTCATGGCAAGATCAGCAAGTCTACTTCAACAAATGGTCGAACGGTAGAGAACGGAGAGCAGAAATCCAAGAAAAAGGACTCAAAAACACGAAAAGGGAGCAAAGAGGAGTCAGGCCAGTCGGCCAGCACATCATCCTCAGAAAAGACAACCAGTCCCTCTCCTACAGACCGTGCTTCTGGTAGCTCACCTGTTGAGAGACCGCCAGGATCAGGCAAAAACTCGGGTGATCGGACACTGGACAATTGGAAGTACAGCACAGATGTTAAACTCAGCCTGAACATACTTCGGGCAGCCATGCAGGGCGAGCGCAAATTCATCTTCGCTGGGTTGCTGCTCACCAGCCACCGACACCAGTTCCATGAAGAGATGATCAGCTTCTACCTAAGCAGTGCCCAAGAACGCTTCAGTGCTGAACAGGAACAGAAGAGAAAGGCTGAGGCTGAGAAGAAGCCTCAGACCAATGGGCTGGCACTAAAGAAGCCTGAACAGGAGAGTGTTTTCCAAAGGGAGCGTTCAGATAGCTCTCCACCTGAGAGTTGCTCACCGGTGTTGCAACCTAGCCATAATCCTTCCCAGGCTGTGAAGATCCAAGAAAGGGGAAGCCCAAAGCTTGCTGCTTCCCCTATCCCAATACCCATCCCAGCTTCCATCCCAGGATCCTCCATGTCCCCTGTCCCTTTCTCCTCCCCTAGTAACGGTGCTAAGAGACCTGGACCAGTCCCTGTTTCAGCTCACTATAGCCATACACCACCTATCCAGAGGCACAGTGTCATCCATCTGAGGGATGTCAATGTGCAGTCATCCAGCTACAAAGATGAGTCTTACAAGCCAATGGTCGGCACTCTTAAAACTTGTGCTACCTACCCCCAGCAAAACCGCTCACTGTCCTCTCAGAGCTACAGCCCAGCCCGCATGTCTGGTATCCATACGATAAATGCCGTAGACACCCTCCCATACAACATGCCTGGGGAACATAAGTCCCACACTTATACCAACGGCTTCAACACTGGCGACATCCGGGACTGTCTGGAGTTTGCCGATGAGGACCCGGCACCCCATGCCTGGCTGGGGCAGGACAAAACCAAAGGGCAGAGTGATGTTTTCCCAATGTACTGTTTTCAGCAAAAACGTTGCAGGAGGGAGAACTGCACCTTCTATGGCCGACCCGAGACAGAGAACTTTTGCTCATGCTGTTATAGAGAGGAGCTGAAACGCAGGGAACGAGAGGTGAAAGTGCACCGACCTGGATAGCCCTGAAAATGCGCACACATATATAAACACCCCCAATGTGTGTGGAAAAGAACAGCAACACCACCACCTTTTTGCACTTTGCAAGCGATACAAAGAACTAGCATAACATTTTCCTACTATATTTAAGGCCTCCTTGTATTCTTGTTACTTTACTCTCATTAGCGAACAAACACTGCTTTACAATGACAGGAAGTGCAACCAGAATCAGTTTACAGCTTTGGCCAGAGATTGTGTTATTGTTTGTCCTATGTCCGATTTAATTCAATCTTTTACTTGTTCTAGAGTAAAAGCTCTCGTCTGTGCATTTTGCTCAGTCTGTATTGTAAAACTCCTTGTACCTGCAGAAAGAGATGTAAAAGCATATGTCACTCTCTAATGGAGCTTCCCAAATCATGGAAGTGAAAACTCTGTTTAGAGATCATTATTATGCAATACTTCACAGCATAGCTCTTTGGAATCTTAATATTAAATAACATTGATTTGCTGTGCATTGCAAATAATTACAAAGGGAGGGAGCTGCACTGTTCAGCACTCTGACTTTTTTTGAAAGCAATAAGTTTGGTAACAACTGTCACCCCTCCCCCTTTTATCTATGCATTCATGACGTCAGCCATATTCTACTTTTCCCCATATGATTCTACGGGATATAGATAAGATTATAATAGGTCTGCTGTACAGGGATTATTATCGGGGAAAATATTTAATATGTGGCATATCAGAGTGTGCTTTTGGATTGATCTTGTGGTGTATATATATATATATATATATATATACACACACACACACAACGCTGCAGTATATTGTAACATAAAGCCTCTACATAGGAGGGTTTGCATTCCATCATGATATCAAATGAAACCTCACTATTGTGTGCTACTTGAACTTGACATCCGACACAGTAAGCATTTGACTTCCATTCATTGCTTTCTGTATTTGCAATATAACATAGTCATGCTAGCGAATGCTAAATTACAAGAACCACCTTACCTGAAGATATATATGAAATGCAAACCCTTATATGCTTCAGCAGTGGACTAAAGGTGGAAAGCTTATGAAACGGTGTATGTGTCAACTGTTTTATACCTTCACTGATGGCACAGCTTGGCTACAAGCAATTGGCAACTGCTCATCAACATTCCGTAGCACTCATGCTAACACTGCCATGCTAGCCTCTCATGTGCCAAAATGGTCCTTCACCTCCATTTCATTTGTCCTCAGGAATATAAGTCTTAACCACACAATTGTGATTATAATATACATCTAAATCTATAAATGTAAAATTGGATATTTAAAGGTACAAATCTACCTCTTGAAAGCATTTTAGGTTTTTGACTCTCATAGATTACATAGCAGTGTAAAATGTCCAAACTAGGTGCAATGTGGAATGTTAGTAGCTGAAATTTTCATGTGTACATTGAAAACGAAAATTTGGTGACAACAAATTCACAGCCAATCAGATCAGAATATGTTTTATGTTAAATAGACCTATGAGATTGCACTGTGGGTGAAGCAACCCAGTGAAACCAAGTGATAGACAAAATTTTCATGTGTTGCTTGACATGGTCATATTTAGTTTGGACAAAATCTCTGATTAATTTATTCTTTGTCAGATTGTATCACGACTGGTTAGGACATGTTCTCCAGACCAAATTTCTAAATGTAAAATGACATTAAGCCGATATTGATCACAGCAGTGCAAAAACCATCACAGTCAACATGCTAAGCTACTAACTGGCTAACAAACATACATGCTCGAAGTGCTAGTTCTCATTGTGTGCTAGAAAATCAGGATGTTACAGATAACTGCGCCAATCAAGTCAACTAGCATGACTAGCATGTTAGCCACTTTGTGTGCCTCTGCTAAGCAAAGGCCCAACTAAGTGCTTTTCTACTTCATAGACAAGATTTCCATAACAGCAGCACTTGTTGTGTTTTGTTGTGTGGCGGTGTCCAGGTAACCAACTTCGTGTCTCTGTAAGTGTTTTGTCTTTCCTGGCCAAGGAGGTCCACTGCTTCGTTCTCTTCCCACGTTTCTACACCTCCACAATCATGTGTGTCTTTCGCTTCCCATCTTCTTGCTTTTCCTCTCCCTCCTTTATATTCGACAAGCTCATGGACTCTCACCGTCTTAGAATTGTAAAATATGATTTTGTATTCATTTGAGAGTTTTACACTACTTTAAATTATTAATTTGCACATTAGGTACCAATGTAAATAGCAGGAGAAAAAGAGACAAAATAAGATTAGTTTATTGTTAAATACGGTGTCTGTGTGGTTCTTTTAATTGTTCCTGTGGAAGAAAGGTGTGTGCCTGTGTGCTAGCATACTTGCGTGTCTGCGTGTGTGTTTTTCCTCAACGTTCTGTAATTTGAGCAGCGCCCTCGGCTGCTGTTTCAGTCTACAGTATACAACTGACTTCTCATATGATTGAGTCCGCAAAACTGGAATAGAATCTAGTATAAAACTGCACGTCTAGCGGTGTCCGGCTTTTATATCCCTGCAGTAGTTGCTGTCAGTGGTGGACCATGGCATTAGCATGAAACAGCACCAAACAGCTGCCAGAAAAGTCTCGCCCTGACAATGAACTCTCATTGTTGCATGTTCACTTAAGGCGGACAGTCTTCGCATACTATATACAAAAGATTTTAGAGGCCAGAAACTTAAAACGCAAATCAGGTCACTTTAAAGAACGGGAGGTAAATAACTCTTATGATTTGGGTCACCCTTAAAATTTTAGTCATGCATATTTTAAGCCCCTCTCCCTTTGAGACTGCGAAATATCTTGAATTGCAAAACACGACAGTGGCTTATCTGTTATGGACAAAAGTCATTTGCATCATGTGTGAGATGTTTTTTTACGACTGGCGTGAAACAGGATACTGTTTTTGCCAAACGATCACAGACACACCCACACATTTTACTGAGGGCACATGGTATGGAAGATATAATTCTGCTGATGCAGAAACCAGGGCACTTTCCCAAGAATTGAACCATGTTCCAGCTGTCATAAAGATGTAAAATGACTTAGCAACCTGTTCACCATAGTTTTATCAGTGGATTTCAAAGAGACTGGGGTAGGTGGGGCTTCTTAACAGTATTAAGTAGTATACTTATTTAAATGTAGTAAAAATAGTGATCTAATTTATGATTTATTTAGGCATGGTGGTCTTAGGGTGGCCAGGCATATGGAAGTCTCAACAGTGTGATTCTGTGCCCTTATTTTACCTTATAATCATACAGAAGCACTAATATACAACACCAACACGGACTGCTATCATACACCCTAAAGCCGCATCTCCAAAATTCACTTATGATTGTCTCATTTCACCCCTAATTGCACAGAAGTTTGGATTAGAATCACAGCTGGTCTGGTGGCCTTATATGGTCTAGCCACAAAAAGTAACATTTCAACACATCCAAAGTCTAAAGCAGATCTGAAATGCACACTTATGCATATGATCGAAACTCCACGTACTTCCATTGTGAATGGAAAACTTCTGGTCTGTCATTTGTTGGAGATGAAAACTTGAAAACTTAACCTTTTGATTCTTTTGTTCAGTGATTTTAATGTTTGCCTTTCATGACAATCATGACAATTCATGGGATTGCTGTCAGAATTCACCAAGTCATATAATAGTGTAGCACTGCTTCTGTTTGATTATCATTTGTTGGAACTTGTACCGTATTTGTACATAAAAAACATGCATGCAAACATTTTATTTGAGAGGTATTTGAGCTCATTCAAATCTCTGATGTTTGATTGAAGGCGCTTGATTGGAAACTTGGCAAATCCAAGCATAATGTGAGATTTTATCTCTTCTGAAACTCGCAAAGACATGTGTGTGAAATTACTTGGATCTTTTTCTCTGGAGAAACATCTGAGCCCTTTTCTAGTACTATGTTCTGAACATGAAAACCAAAATACTACTGACATACGTGTAGGGCGCTGACCTCTCAAGGGGTAAGTAGAAGGGGAAAGATGTTTTTCTTTTCAAGAAGGCACGTGAACTCATCTCCGTTCAAAGCAGCACGCACGGAGATGCAAAGACACACTGCCATCTATCAATCAGCAGAACGGCCCCTGTACAGCTCTCCCATGACCTAGTTTGCGTTTGTGCACAGCTCTCTTCAAAACACCACCCTGCCCACATTTTTTTTCTCAGAAGTCTCTCATCAATAATCCGACTTTCTGTTTGGTGGCTTACAGTTTCTCAAAAGAATGCGAAAAATGTGAGAAGAAAAATAAAACGGGAGAGAGAGACAGTATAAGGTCACGCAGTTCTTTGCTGCATGATATTTGTGATCCATGTCTTTCCTGCATTGGTGGAGAGGAAGAAGGAGAAACTGCACTGTGCTCAGCTGGGGCATGGCATGCTGTCATGTGTTTCTAGGACTAGAGGTCTTGTGACATTGCAGCCAATTCTTTATTGTGCCTTACAGTACATAACAGCACAAGACAGTGATAGTGTACCATTGTATGCAGTCCACACGTACAGTCTTGACTCTACCAACTGTTGATACCACAAACAAATTTCACGCTATTAAAGCATTACGCCATTCTTTACCGTGGGTTCTCAGGCATTATGTGAAGCAGAGTATAATATGCTTGCCTGTGGTAATTTCACGTAACATGCAGCCTTGAATAGCTTGCTTTTAAGAAATACTAATAATCAATAAAAACAACAGGTATATAATGTCTAACAAAATGTCCTAAACAGGTGTTAAAATGACAGTGGGCCATGTTTCCAGGCTTTTCTATGTAAATCTGTATTTTGTCCTAAGCATTTTCACTAGCATTTTATTGTTTTTTTGTTTGTTTTGGTTGAATATTTACAGCAAGGGATCATGGTTTAATATGTTAGCATAGCTTATCTATTCCATGTAAACCTGTATTTTTTTAAGTTTTTTTTTTAGTTCTAACCATTTTCACAAGCATTTTCTTGACATTTTTTGTTTCTGTTGGCTGTTTACAGCAAGGGGTCATGGTTTACCATGTTAGCATAGCTACATTAGTCCAGTTAGTGTACTAAAAGCTAAAATATATATTCCATGTAAACCTGTTTTTTTAAAGTCCTAACCATTTTCCCAAGCATTTTCTTGACATTTTTTGTTTCTGTAGGCTGTTTACAGCAAGGGACCAAGGTTTATCAGGTTAGCATAGCTACATTAGCCCAGTTAACATGCTAAAATGTAAAGTATCTCTTCCATGCAGACCTGCATTTTTGTTCTAACCATGTTCCCAAGCAATTTCTTGTTGTTGTTTTTCTTTTCTTGTAGTACAAGGGTTAGCAGGTCGACATGACCCCATTATCCCTGTTAGATGATGCCATAGCATTTTTATAAGTATCTTTCTTTATCCTTTTCACGTCCTATTTTGCACACTAGTTGTCTGTGTAGCCAATCAAACATAAAATGTTAGAAAGAGTGAAGGAGAACATCACTCTTTGTCTTTGTACAGTGAACCAGCCCACCCTGTGGAGGCGATGTACTGTATTTGAGCAAAGAAAGGAAACAACCAAAATACTCACTGGTGGGAGGGTCCTTTTTCTGAAAGAGACAGTGAGACACTGCAAAGAAAGAGAACAAGAACTGTCTTTTCTTTTTTGTGTGTCTGCCAGATTTATGGTTGCAATTGAAACCATCAACAGCTTTGCTCTTTTGGCAGAGACCGGAGGAGCCCCAAGATGGAGACACACCCTGTGATCTGTGTTGCCACTTGTATGGAAGCAATTTTCCAACAAAAGCCCTTATCAGAAACGCTAATTATCATCTTTACTTTCATGTTGGTAACAGCGGTGTCTGTTTTGGCTCTGACATAATGAGACCAAAAAGAGGAAATGAAGCTTCTAATAAATATGCATGCTTATTTTCTGCCAAGATCGTTGAGCATTTAAATTAAAACAAGAGGACTGACTGTAACAGCATGGAAAATGGATCACTGCTGTTTTATCAATGCTTTTTGAGATGCTTTAGATCTTCAACAAAGCTGCAGTTTTAATAGACAAAATATTCAAATCAGTCAAGGCCATTTTAAATAGACCAAAGACTAGTACTACTAGACAAAAGATGAAAGATTTAAACAGAGAAATTTACTTGAGACTTTCTTGCTCGGAAATGGTAAATCCTTACCAAAATGGTACCATTTTAGCTATAGGTAGTTGAGCTTTTTGAGTTTGTACAACAATCGTAGAAGGACAGCGTGCGTCAGGTTTTGTCCGCCTTGCTAACTTCCAGTAGGCAATGAATTTTAAGGCAATGAAAAATAATTTACAGCACCTTAAATGAAAGAACTTTGCATCGAAGTCTGCTTTGATCCAGAAGTTTGAAGTGTTATTTGGTTTCAGGAACTTTGTGCTCCCTTAAACCTGTTCAGTCGGCTTATATACGGTACACGGGCCTGTTCAGATTATAGATGCTAGTTGAGGTGTGTCTGTGATCTATGTGTCCCCAGAGAAAGATGTTCACTGCTCACTGTTTCTCATCCAAGAAGGCTTAAGCTCACCCCTACAAAGAGACAACGCTTTCTGTTGATAGAATGATAATGGTTCCTTTTGGTCAATTTGGTTGGAACAAGAAAAAATAATTCAGGATATATTCTATGAAAAGAAGTCTTATCTTACACAATTTTCATTCTCCAGGCATTTATTTATTTATTTATTTACTTAACGGTTACACTTTATTTTAAGGTGTCCTTGTTACTGTTTAATAATCCATTTAAGTACTGAGTAATATTAATTAGCTACCTTTACTTACTATATGGTTAGGATTAGGGTTTGGCTTAGGGTTACTTGCATGTAATTAGGCATAAAGTCTAATCCACCAGTGTTATTTTAATATTGATTATATACTGTACTATTTATTAATATTATAAATTAGCTTGTATTTTTGTATTCCATCTTTATTTTAATAATTTCATTAATATTTGTATGTGCTTTTGTGATTTTTTTTATATTTCTAATTAGCTTCATTTAGCTATCATTTATTTTTATTTAAGTTTTAATTCCACTTAGTAAGTACTTTAACTTGGTAAGTTTATATATATTGTATATATATATATATATAAGCTTTATTTCAATTATCAATAACAACACAGTAATGTAGATTATAAACTGATGATTTTTTCATGTGTCTTGACTGTTTGTTTGTTTTTTTAAGTTTCCAAATTCTCAGAGCACAACTGTATATTCTCCTTTATTTCAGTGTTATGAAATAGAAATATTTAGTACTTACCTGCATCTG